CTCCAAATGTCAAATGACTAAAGCGCAAGGATGCATGAACATAAAATGTAGCAATATAAAACAAAATCTCTTACACAATAAGGTAAAGAATATATATAAATAGAAAGATAAGCACAATGCTTGCTTGAAATGATATGACTAAATGATGATAAACAATTAACTTGCAGTTGCAATAACCTTAACAAGAGTTAAGTAAAAAATTGATAAAAACTAACAAAAATAATTAAGGATACTTAAGAAATTTCCTATAAATAAATAAAATTTATTTAATTATATTTAATAATATCTTTAGCAAATAAAAATATAAATACCAAAATAATTATAAAGAAATATCTATGTCAAAATAATTTAATAAATTAATTTTAAATAAAAATGTGAAAAAACATCATCGTTTATATCAATTTCTACTGAATCTACTGAAAGTGCACTAGTACGAAAAATAGGAAATAATTCAATAGACAAAAAGTGATCTGAATAATATTGTCTATTGAAATTTACAAAATACATTTATGTCTATAATATCCACATTTAACTTCTTGGAGTTTAAAAGAATATTATAACAAAAACAAGATGCTTTAATTGAGCAGGATTGCTTACAAAACAGTTTGAGTGCTTTAAAGTATTAAATTATCATCATCAGAAACAATAATTTGAAAACAGAACACAATTCTTAAAAAACAAAATTTTCTCAAATCTATTGCTGTAGTTACAATAAAATAAATGAAATGAATATTCATCACAAATAATAGTATTTAAAACATGGAAGTGGACTTAGGTCTAGGAAAACTAGGCAATTGCCTGGAGCCTAGATCTAACAAGCTTGTAAATCAATTTGTAAGTTTACATCAAATCATGTAAGTTTTAACTGTATAGTGAATGATGTGATTATACGGACATTTGTAACATCTCCAAGCTGTCCAATGTTAAAGATAACAAATAAAATTAATTGTCTTTTGTTCCACATTGCAAGTTTTGCTTAGCCTGAAATTTCTTTAATTTAACAATGATAAAAACTAAATTAAAATAACATTAAATAAAATAGTAACAAAATCTTTACACATTAAAAAAACTTCAGAAAATTTTAGGTATTATTCAATTACTTAGTCAGATTATTATTAAAAATATATTCCACAATCAAATAATAAAACTTAATATAAGGACCTTGAGTAAGTTCTCACTGTTTTTTTGTGAAAATTAACACTTTATTTTAAAAAAGTCATAATAAACAGGTCACTAAAAGTATTGTCCATCACTAGCCACTACTTTCTCCCATCATTCTGGCAGCATTTGAATTCCATGTCAGAAAAACAGCATGTCTTTTGAGGCTTTCCAAGAATAAACCCATTTTTTGGCATCTTCATAAGAATAGAAGTGCTGCTCAGCCAGGCCATGTGCCATCAATTGGAGCAAGTGATAATTGGAAGGGGCGATGTCTGGTGAATACAGCAGATGGGATAGGACTATCCATTTAAGCATTTCCAAGTACGTTTTCACCGGTTGTGCAACATGTGGCCAAGCATTGTCATGTTGCAAAATCACTTTGCCATGTCTCTGCTCATACAGTGGCCATTTTTCCTTCAATGCTTGGCTCAAACACATCAATTGTAGTCGATAGCAATCTCCCGTGATGGTTTCGTTTGGTTTGAGCAGCTCGTAATAAACTACACCTAGCTGATCCCATCAAATGCAGAGCAGAAGCTTCGAACCATGGATATTTGGCCTTGCTGACGATGTTGATGCATGGCCGGGCTTACCCCATGATTTTCTACGTTTAGGGTTATCGTAGTGTATCCATTTTTCGTCGCCTGTCATGATACGATGCAGAAAACCTTTCCTTTTCTGCCGTTGAAGCAGCTGTTCACACGTAAAAAGATGCTGTTTGACATCTCTTGGCTTCAACTAATACAGCACCCAATGTCTTTGCTTTTGAATCATTCCTAATCTTTTTAAACGTTTCAAAACTGTTGTGTGATCAACTCCTAATGATTCTGCAAGTTCAGCTAGCGTCTGACATGAGTCTTCATGAAGTAATGCCTCTAATTCCTCGTCTTCAAACTTTTTTGGTGCGCCAGATTGTTCTTTATCTTCAACATCAAAATCATTATTTTTGAAGTGTCTAAACCAATCTCTGCATGTTGTTTCCGACAGAGCATGGTTGCTGTAAGTCTCAACAAGGTTTCTGTGTGCTTCAGTTGCAGATTTTTTTGAATAAAATAGTGCAATAAAATTCCCGGCAAATACTCTTTTTTGGCACAAAACTCGACATGTTTAACACAATGAAAAAATAAGTTGTTTACACTTTGGTGAAATGACATATACTGAATTTCAAGGTCGCTTATTGTACTTCCTTACAGATGCGTCACCATCTAAAAATAAACACATGTGGTTCTGGTAACGCCATTTGTTAAAAAACAGTGAGAACGTATTCAAGGTCCCTATACAAAAGTTAAATTAATCAAAATTAAATTACAGGAAACAAGTTTGTCAATATCATAAAAACAATTCTGCAAAATTCTAATTTATTCATAAAAGCTCTTAATGATTTCAGCATTTGAAAAGTTGTTTATTAGTTTACATTCATTTGTCATCATTAAATGGTATTAATCAACAATGACCTGTTGATTTTTGTAACAAAATAGTCCTGTTGTCTTCATATCGAAAATTTTATGAATGAACTATTCTCATTATAAAAATATTAACTATATAATCAATTAAGCATTTGGTTCAAACACAACCAACAACACTAGCCTACTACTAACCATACACTAGCCTATGTAAGCTTACTGGATGGGAACAGATGTAAAAAAGGATACTCTGACAAAATTTTGTTTAAAAAAAAAAAAAGAAAAAAAATGTATTTTCTTAAAATTGTAGATAGTATATACTTTATATGTTAATCTTATGATATTTTAATTGTATTTTTTATACAATATTNCACAATTTTTATATTAAAATGAACTTTTAAAATATAATTTTTTTTGTTTCTATATTATTCAATATATTTATTTTGTTTGTGAAACATAAAAAATAATTTTTTACGATACAGTAAACATGATTATTATTTAAAAATTAAAAAAAAATTTTAGGCTTAACATCCACAAAAATTCAACATGGCGTCACAGGCAACAAATAAAAATTTCAACATCGAATAGGTTAATAACATTGAATTTTTATGATGATAATAAAATGGAAGTTTCTGTAAATTTCTGTAATTGTAAGAAAAAAAAGCCAAATGAAATAAAAAAAATGTTCTTGTATAGAATGCTATACCTAATATGTGTATGGCAGCAATTCTTGAAGTTGAATTGGAGCATGGATGGTCTGCATGTCTTTGATTCAGTTTTAGTGGTCTATGGACCACTAAAACTGAATCAAAGACATGAAGACCACCCCTGCTCATTTATCTACACCTTATCTTATAAAAAATCATCTTAGATGCATGCCAATAATTTTATTTCTTCTACAATAAGCAATAAAGATGCAGAAGATTAATATTTGATTGTGTCTTGTTTGTCTATGTTCTTTCTTCTATTGCTTCTTTGTTTCTTAGATTCTAATTTGAGAATACCCAGGCTCAACATCAGAGTTAAAATCCATCAGATAAATGAAGCTTATTGACCTTTAGTTGATATAAAATTCTATGTAATGTTTAGAAAAATTCCTCAAAGATAAATTAAACCTTTTTAATAATTCTATCAATAACATTAAAAATATGACATGTTTATTGAAAACCTTAAAAAACTTACTATTAATAGAGACAGTATAATATTTTATAATTGTTACGTTTACGACAGCTTTGCTTTTTACAACCAAAACATAACTGACCCCCAAATTACATTTGATTGTGCAAACAATATACAAAATAGCCTATGCTTTGATATTGAAATAGAGAATAACCACATGCTAAATTTTTAGTTGTTACAGTGCAAAGATTTAGTGATTCTATCACTTTTAAAAAGTACATTAAACTCTGTAACATCAGAAAGGTAATTAATTTCTACACCAATGCTCCTACGTACATAAAAAAGAATTTTTTTCAGTATGTATTAACACAAAATTAAAACCCATACTAGTAATATAATAGACCAAAACAATGAAATTCACAACAATTATATCAATCTTGGGTTTGTGTAGTTTTGAACATAGTTTCACTTTCTTGAATTAATACTAATTAACACCTCAATAAGAATCATTTACGTTTTTGTATTAGCTTTGGATCCAAAGTTTCTAGTTCTGTGATAATTACATATTATCTTCTTCACAGATCTATCACACAAAGAAAACTACTTTTTTAAAGGAAAGTCATTTTTATTGTTTTTCAACAGAAATGCATTTTGGGCTGCATTTTGTTTGACACATCTGTGAAGAAGATAATTTCTATAATTTATGTTGTTTATTAAAGTAGTTCCATTCATTAATGTGTTGCTTGTTGACAATATGAATATGCTGTAACTAACAAGATAACTACATTATACTGTTTTAAAATGGCTTTTGTGACAGTTTTGGCTTTAATTTTTGACACAGTTGTGTGTTATCCATGTCTAGATTAGCATTATCATTAAGAATTATATTTTGCAACATTTTGCTACTTATATATAAATATTCAATATTTTCTTTTGTTTATAATCAGCAACAGTTTCACAGTATAGACGGCTTATACTTTTATTTTACCTAGAGCTTGCATTTTTGGGGCTTCTGATATATACAAATGTATATTTTCTGATAGTTGGCCTTTATCAAAAATCTTGTAACACAATATTTATATTATATAAAGTTACATAAAAAAGTGTTTCATAAGCCTTTCACAAGCCTCACACAATCTAAAATTATCACTGTTTATAATATTATTCCTGTGAAGTGAACAATTTTTATTTATTCAAGTAATAAATATTTATACAAAATATAAAATTAGATTATAATAAAGTATAAATTTGAAAAAAATAAAATGTAAATTTGCTTGAATGTGCCAAAACATTTAGAAAAATAATTTTTTTTTTTACCTTAAAACTTCTAATTCTTCTTTTGTATAAGATTGACTTCCACTAATATGAAGTTGATTTTTATTTGTTGTTCTGTTGTGCTCTATGTTTTTTGGTTTTGGTTCATCATTAAATAAGCTTCCAATACCTAATGGAGGGATTACTCTTCTGTTCTGAACAGGACTTATGGCTCGAGGAACTCTAGGAGACTGTACGGACAATGTTTCAGTAGGCGAGATTTTCTTTTTCAATGCTTCGGCTCTATAAAATTATTTTCCTTTTAAATATTAATTGTTAAAAAATGATAATATCTTTACATGAGGTTATTTCAATAAATAAAAACTTTTTGCATTAAATTTTGAGTTATTTCAAAAAATTGAAATATCATTATATTGTATTTCAAAAAACTGGCTACTTAATTATATAACACTCACCAAATAAACCATCGCCAGTTCATAACCAAACAGAAAAATTCTTTCTACGAACATTTTCATCTATATGTAATAGACATCCTCAGGTTTGCAAATTTACAAATTAAACTTCCTTTGTACACAACATATTCGAATTACGTAATTAAACAGAACTTTCAAAAACATTCTATTCTACTAGCCGTTAGTTTGATATCGTCAATACCTGAGGATGTCTATTACATATAGATGAAAACGTTCGTAGAAAGAATTTTTCTGTTTGGTTATGAACTGATGGTGGTTTATTTGGTGAGTGTTATATCATTATATTGTATAGTGTTTCTTACCCAGTTCATTTTTAACTAAGCATTTATTAAAACAGCTATACCAAACAAGGTGCAATAGAATAAGGTTAAGCTTATTGCCAGTTGTACTGTAAAATTGTTATAATACAATGCATAAAGACTCTCTCTCTCATAGATCCTTGCAAGTGATTTCCATGTTTTCACATCTATGAAAAATTGTTTGACTAGTAGATGATTTGCAAACAATAGTGAAGTGCAACAAACCATTATACCTTAATTTCAGAAACACATTGGAAGTAATATCTCAATGTCATGCTAAACCAAATGCTTAGACAGGTATGAAGATTATATAGAAAAATAATGTGCTAAAATCACATTTTTGGTTTTACATTCAAATAAATTCAATGCTATCTTGTTATTTTATTTATTGAAACACTTTTCAATATTTAAATTTTTGAAATTTTTATTTATCATTATTATTTTAAATTAAAAAAGTGAAAATATTTATTGTTTTAACAAAAACATAAAGACCAATGTAGTAAAACAAACCTTCATTTGCAAAAACAAAAACATGAAAATATTAACAGTTTGAGAGGTTTTTTATTATACAGTCGGCCCCCTATAACACCATTGATTTTTCTGTTTTATATGAATCCCATGTTGTACAAGTCAGTTAGATATGTGAGCTGTTCACAGCCTGGCACACGTATTTGTAAAATCTAAGTGACTCGTACAACATGGAATTCATATAAAACGGAAAAATCAACAGTGTTATAGGGGGGGTCGACTGTATATAAATCTAAAAATTTGAAGAATTCAACCAGTATCATTAATATTATACAGTGGGTAATCGGTTAACGAACATAATCCGTTCCAAGACTTTGTTCACTATCTGAATTGTTCATTAACTGATTATCAGTTTACCACGGGTTTCTATGGGAATTTGATTAATTTGTTTTGGAGACACCCCCAAAAATAAAAAAGTATATATTTTTTTACTATGTTTATTCATATGTAATAATAAAAATACATATATACACGGTCTTGCATTTTTATTAGTAATGTTTTTTCTGTTTGTGGGGGTTAAAGAATCTGTTCAATGTCGATTGCTTTTCTGTCTTCTTCATGATTTTTCAGAAGTAATTAATAGCATTGTAATTGTTGAGATCCCTAGGCCTATTAACCTCAACTTGATTTGGATGCCATTTTAAGACCGTTATTCTGACATCCTCCCACTTCTTCAAAAGATCTTTAATAGCAGATATCAGCATAAATCCACATTTTCAGAAGAAAATGTAAAAGAATTGTTTCTGTCAGAAATACAAAAGGGAGAGTTTCAAAGTTCAGGGAATACTATCCGGTCAGTATATACTGGGTAGAACGTCGATATCGACGTCTCCCGCACTCCAAAAAGTTTCCTGAAGACAAAGAAAGACCAATCGGTATTCGTTATTTTACATCACTTCTCGTGTTTGTTCAGTGAAGTGTTCGTTGTCCGATCATAAAAATCTTTCACAAAAGTGTTCGTTATCTGATTTGTTCGTTAACTGATCACCCACTGTACTTATAATTATAAGTATAATATTATATTATACTTATATTACTTATATTATAAATTATTATTATAAATATAATAATAATTTAGTTATATATTTAATGTCTACAGTCAAAGCTCCTTCAATTAGCATGCTAATGAATACTCACAAATGGATCTTCCTCTTAAATATTAAACAGAGGATTTTTTCAGCCTCTGTAAATTACTAAACACATGATTTTGCATTGAAAAAGGTATCACCAAATTATGTGACTTCAAACTCTGAAACTTTAAACTTGTGTAGACCTCATTGTTCTATATAATTCTTATTATTTGAGATCCTTTGGTTCGATACCACATTCAATTTGGTGCCAATTTCAAAAGAAAACAAATGATGGCACTATATTGAGGTTTATTTGTATACTAAAAAAAAATATACAGTTACATCTCATTATCTGAATCTAATATATTTCCAAAAATGATCCAAATATTGGGAATTTGGAATTTTTTCCATTATTTCTTATGGTAAAAATTCTAACTCATTCCTGGTTTATCCAAATAACCCTTATCAATTTTCCCAGATGTCGACCCCCCTATAATTACGGTCCCTATAATTACGATTCCTATAAAACTACGAAAAAATTGCTACCGGTATCCGTAAAAAATAGTAAAAGTTCCCTATAAACACCTCAAACGTCATCGGGCAGCCGAACTACTTTCCCGCCGTCCGTAGCGCCACGCTACGGAGAGATTTCTATCGTCTGGACAGTATTATATAAATTATATATAAATTAGGTACTGTACATATAATTATATATTAATTATATATAAATTAGGTACTGTATATATAATTATATATTAACTTATTGTAACTTTGTTATAATTAAATATATAATTTCCGCCGTCTAGCGTGGCGCCACGCTACGGAGATTTTTACGCTAACTATCGTCTGTCAGTATGTAAATTAGGTACCGTAAGTCTAATACAGTACTGTAATTTTATACATTTCTTGTGAAAGAAACATTTCTTATTCAACG